AAAATATTTCTACACAACTAAAATACATCCTTCGCTTTGTGGCCTCCACGGCGACTAAGCAGTTAGCAAACCGAACCCTTCCAGAGGAGGCACTCTGCTTCTGGCAACGAGGTTCTAGTATCTGCTCCTCACAATATGACTGTTTGCGCGTAAAAATTAGCATATGACCGTACGAACATAGAAAGCCCCCTTTCATGTTACGTCGCCATCGTCACAAAAGGTCACAGTCGACAGGAACTGTAATAGCAGTAGGAAAGAAAGTGATCAGGTCACACCATGGACAGAAGACAGGTTATTTTAGAAATGAGAGGAACTCAAATGGTGAGAGTAGCTGGCAGGGACTCCATACACACGGCACAATCTAGTCGACTAGGAGCACACCTGCACATCAGGGAACCGACTTCGCTTCTGGAAACTCGGCCCTGCTAGGCAACTAAGGCCGCAGGCAGCGACTTAAGCAACACGATTGAACATAAAACTCCTAGCTGACAGGTAACAACCGATGTCGGCACCGTGTCGAGTATCAGAGTGCGACGCGTGAAAAAGCCTGACGAAAGTCAACTATCCCGGTCGAGAAAACAGTTACAAAACTGGTGGTGAAACATATGCCGCCAGAGATAAGTCATGCGTGATGAACGGAGGAAAGCGTTAGGCCGTTTCCAAACCACTTACACTTAGCGTTGTCGGACAACAGTAGAACTTCTAACCCTAGAGGCAAACCAACTCTTGAGTTATTGTAGGACACAAGTCCCAACTGATGCTACAGCTTACGACACACATTTCCGAGGACAGCTCACTCTCAAAAATTAACCTGGTGTGGGCTGATTTAAGGTCGAAGCCAGATAATAGGCTTAACTTACCGGGCCTCACGACCAACACGTTCGCCTACGGGATCCTGGTAGATGAGGGGTTCTGTCCGAACAACTTGCATGGGACGGATGGGCGACTTCCTACGGCTGCTACCTGTAGCTGGAACAGCAGCCATTCGCTGATGAAGCAGGTCCCCAGAAAACTCGTCAACATCAACAACCGAGGGGTCGTGTGGGGCTAGCAGCTGGCCCTTGTCGTCCACTTGTAGGTTCATTTGTTCCATCTGGGGTTCCGGCTGGGTATTGTGCAGTTCGATACTTTCATCCACGTTTTCAGGCATGGGCATGATCGGGCTGATGTCACTGTGACCATGGAAGCCAGTTTTCTCTGGGGTTTCAAATTCTGCAACTGAAAAGCATATGTAGGAAGGCATGTATTTACAGCTGAAAAGTACACAAGAATACCAAGGTATGTGAGACGGAGCGGCAAAGGCCTGGAATATGGCTAACAAAAAACTACTTCGATTTAAATGCCACAACACTACAAGGATTACCGAATAAGGAAAAGTACATTTTGTGTCGTAATCTAGATCCTGCACATTATGAACGATATCTCGAAAAAAAAGATAAGCAGACAAGCGTGAATGGGTAGCACGAATGTAAAATTTAAAAGTCACATGTAACAACTTCCACAATAAAAGAACCGTAGAGCATTTAGGAGCAGGTAGAAGGTGACACTTATATGCATTAAGGAGGATATCTGATCGCTTTTCCATCAACACGGTGGCTAATGAAGACTAGTGATACAAGGGACATGCATGAATTTGGGGGGTCGGGGAAACCATTCAAACAATTTTAACGCAAAAGCGGACTTGATGCTACCTACCATCAAAACCTCTACCAGGGTAAGACGACAAAGGCTTTGGGATTTCTGGTTTTCGAGTAGGTTTTGGTACGAGGCGATGGCGAATTCTTCTGTTTGGCATTTGGGGGTCCGCACTACGGTTAAACCCAGCAGCATTATCATCCAGCACGAGTTCGGAGAAAGGAGCGAATCTTTGGTCGGCCTGATTCTGTTGAAAATAAAACGGGAAAGTGGAGAAATACACCGAATAATTGAAAGCAATCAGGGCTTTGAACGGCAAAACAATGCACAACATGCAAGCATCCTTGAAAATATTACAGTGTGGAGAAAATGTCGAAGTTTCGAACGTTTTAAGACTTGAAAAAAACACAACACAAGGCAAGAGGAGTAGAGAAAAGAAATAAATCAAGCACTTAGAGGACATTGTTTGTCACAGAGCGACAAAAGATGAGTGTAAATTATAGGGCGGCCTATGAATTTCTGGCTTTGGGCGACTGAGTATGCGTTCTTTATTACACATGATGACAGTGCTCGCTTTGAAGTATTGAAGTGGAAAGTTTGTGTACTATGAGCTAAAGCGGTGGTGTGGGACACCGAACGCCGAACACTCCACAGTGCCGTTGAGAACAGTACTGTCATCTTAAGCCTATGAATGAAAATCAGACATGGAGTAGGCGCAACCTACTTGCCTTAGAGATACGCATTCAGTTCTAAGTAATAAAGGGAATTGGAAGAGCAGAAGTAAATTCTAATAACGAAGACTAACTAACGCCTAGAGGGCGATAGCCATAGAAAGAAAATATGTTGATATTGTAAGTCACTACCCTCGAGGATGCGTCACGATGCTATGTCGCGACATGCATCTAAGTAACACTGGAAAGTTAAGGATAACCGTTGAATGAGAGAGGGTACTAGAGCTACTTATAAAAGAATATCCTGAATTCCGACATTGAAACGATGAAATGCATGCCACGAAGACAATTAATTCTGGAACAAAACGATCTTTACTGCTAGTAAGGGGTTTCGGCAGACCTGAATGATTCATTTAATCTCGGTGGGATCTTGGCTATGCCCAAAAAATCAGCGGTAATGGAACTTAGTTAGATTCCAAAGATGCCACTTTAGAATTCGTCTATCTCAGTGATAAGAAAAAACAAAGAGGCAGCAAAGTTAGGCAATACACGTCGTTGGGAGTAAACAGTTCAATTTTTCAATCAGCAGGTCCAGGCATTTGGTCAGTTGTCCACTGGTTTACACCGGCATTTAAAAAACTGAAACATTGATTGTAGACATTCGTACAGCAGAAGGATGCTCGTGAACAAAAAGTAGACCAAGGACGTTCCTTATTCCAGACTTAACGACTGCTCATTGACGGTATACAGTAGGTTAACAGATTAGAAGGGGTTAGCAAACCATATTGTAATATCGATTATCGTACATCATGCCAATCACACCAGGATACAGGTCTCTGCGCTTTTTTGAACGCTAGCAAAAACCACGCGCTACAAAGTGGGTGTATAAGTATTCGTATTTTTTTCTATTGATTTTGGATGCCTATTAAATATTTTTAGTAGAAAACCTACACAAAATGTTCCTTCATGTACTCACTTGATAGCAAATCGCGCCTTCAATTTTCATATTCAAAGGGTGGTTTCCAGTTTTAACATGGTTTGCAGTTCCCGAATAATATCACTATTGCCACTGTTAGGGGCTTTTAATAAATAAGCTATAGAAATCACATCATATAGCAAAGCAAGACAACGAGCCCATGGCGCAGTGGTTAGCGCATTGGACTTCTAGCCAACAAGGTTGCGGGTTTGACGCTCACGTGGTGTACCACCAGAGGTTCGCTATGGCTAGCTGATAGCGGCTAATATGTCGGAAACGGCCATTCCAGTCTCCTTTGTCTTTGTCGGTAATGTATTTCTAGCTACGTCACGTAGTGTCCATATAATATCACAATGGACATTGATTATTTGGCATATTTCAAAAGCTGATAAGTAAACAGAGAGATGCGGGGTCATGTGAATAGACATTTCAGCACTGTCTTTTAAATGTTGAAACTATAAAATTTCAAACCGAAAGTTATCCATTATTTGAGTATGTAAATTTGGAGCACGTGTGATGCGCTACAGAAGGACTAAAAGAAGAGATAGGTGGTGCACACTTTTGTGAAATATATTTGAATTTATGAGGACATTGAAAGTAAGTGGAAAAGGTCATCGTAAGGACCTCCAAGATCATTTTTCAAACTTATTTTTCTTTCGCCATGAAGTGTGAATAGGCATAAAAACAGGTTCCCGTGTGGACGACTCGTTTCGCCATATCACCCGCGTATTTTGCCCTTATTAGCATCTCAGTGCCGCGTTTGGTTCCATCCCTATGGAGCCAGCGGCAATTATTACATCGAGTCTGCTACGATGGATCAATGGGTAATATTTTAGAGCGTAGTATATGACTTCTAAGGAGGAAAAATAAGTTAGGGAATCAAAACGAACATCATCGACGTGTCTGATGACCAACTATTCGAGAAATAATCAGAGGAAAAAAACAATCCTCAGAATGAATACTTAAGATGGTAGGACAATGCATGAGCGTTGGAACAGCTCAGAGGAAAAGACCGGGGACAGCTACCCATAAACCACCAGTAACGAAATTGTAGAAAAAACACAAGCAATTCGAACGCCTACTTCCTATTAGTGTTTGTCTAACGAGCTTCAGATTTCATTACGCAAATCACCGAGACTCGCGGAGATCGGTGGCAATAAAGCAAAAACTAGTCGCCGTTCCACCCGGCCAATGGGCGAAATTGAAATTGAAGGGACTAGAAAGGAAACGGCAGTGGAAGCCCCACAGTATGTTGCGCAAAGTTTGATCAGTGGTTATTTTTTGAGAGATGACTGTCCAGCCAGAACTGAGAGTTCCGTATAAACTGGAAGGCAGGTATCCCAAGAAATGTAATTTCAAGGAAAGGCGTTCTTTCC